GTTCGAGATATAAATCTTCGATTTCTTGTTTAAGAAGTGCCAACATACCCTTTTTGATTCGAATTTTTTCAGTTATGTTTGTATTTAAATCAATAGTACGTTGTATCTAAATAAAAAAAAGGTATTTTTTTGTATTGTTAATATCGCATTACTTCTTTTTCGATGTCGTTCAAGGTATGAGTCATATTCACGAGACGTTGTATAAGACCAACCAAAGTTTATTTTGTTAAAATAGATGTGTGTAAATGTGTACATGTATCAGTCGATATATGAATATATATTATCGACTAGATATCAAAGAAGACGAAAAAAAAGAAAAAAAGCTTATCAGCGCAGCTCCAAGGAAGCTGAAATGTGGAATTCACGTGTATCATTTAAACTTGTCATAATGATCTTTAGTAAGACATTGTACAGATGGTGAAACAAAATGAAATTTTTCAGCTTGCGTTTGAATGACTTAGGATATCAGTACCTAGTGCTTCTGAACTGAATATTACATTTAAAGCTTGAAAATTGTTCTCGTAGTACTTTTTTCTTTGATATTTTTCATACGCTTTCAGTAGGACATACATCAATCTTTGTTCTTTGTATTTCATTCTGTACGTGACGTTTTCATATATTTTATCCATTGCAATCTAAATTATTGTTTTGTAGTACACTATTTTTTATGTAGAATTATTCAGTATTTTATTAAAAAATCTTCAAAAGAAATCACGTTGATCGATTGCGAAAAATTGTATTCTCACATTCTTATGTTTATATTTTTATTATTATTACAAGTGAAGATATTATCCAATAATATGTCATTTGAAAGTAATAAATGCAAAATATGCTGACGAAATTTCAATGACAGTCGGTTCAACTTGGTTGGGTGTTGTGGATTTGGGATGGGTCCATTGTTTGTCAAATGATTCTTTTCTTACTTTTACAGTATAGTTAAAATTGATATTTCTTATCTTTCGTCTGTCAACGTTTCTTTTTTCTTCGGTTTTTTAAAGTTTAAGTTAACTACACAGTCTATGAAGAAGAGCTACCCATAACAACAATAGAGCATTTAATATGAACAGCAGACGACGAATGATTACAACTAAGAAAAAAAATACATATTGTCTGAAAGGAAATAATTTTTAAAAAGGAGTGCACACACATTAATATTCATTTCTGTATCATATGAGATGGTTGACATTTTTGGAAAATTGACCATGACAAACAATGATAGACTTTCTTGAATATCTAATAGAAGATTCAATTATTAAAAGTTAACAGAGCATGACTATTCTAAATTGTTTCAAATTTTTAGATTGATGAAATTTACATTGATATAAAATTGAGATAACTTATTGTTTGAAAGAACAATAAGTTCTACAAGATAAACCAATATGAACATGAAAAGCGAAATTGAAAGTATACTATTTTAAATTCTAGAGAGTATTATTCAGATCTCATTGAATATGCTCTATTAGCTACTGAAGAATAAGAAAAGTTTTCTTAACATAGGCAGAACTTCAGTCA